AAATGTGATGTGAAATTGTATATTAGAAATTATTCTTTTTTTAAACATGTAAAGGTAGTCAATAAAACCACATTTATGTATTTTTCTCACTTTTATAATTTTTATATTAATCTGAAATTATAATTTATTTTAAATTTATCACTTCAGAATTTTTTATTACGAGTATTGGGAAAATACAAATGGCCGATACACGTGCACTGAAAATCAACTTACTTCTAAAGGAATAAAGTGCCATGTCCTAAAATAGCAAGTGTCTTCTGGCCTCAAAATTTCCAGAGCCAATTTTTTTTTTTCTCTGAATTCTTTTGTCTTAAAATTGCCAGCAGCCTAAACATTATGTAAGACGTTTTTGTCCTGCTGGCATTCCCATCTCCTTTTGCTGTGCTCTTTGCTGCCTGTGGTCTTTGTCAGCCCAAGCACATTGGAGAGCCCGAGCTGTTCCCTTCAACCCAATTAACCCCAGACCATTACAGCCAAGTTTGGTGTCATACTTGCGACTTTTTATTCTTGTGTTATTTCAATAAGCATCTTGATTCCAGCGTTTTCCTCGTATTGGTTCTCTCAGATAATAGTCATTACAACAACTAGCTTCCAAATCTCTTCCCTTTTGAGCTTGACCTATTGCAGAAAGGTAAAGAAATTCTGTATTTTTTACCTACCATTTTAATAAGTTTAATCTAATAGTCTTTTACTCGAGTGGAAAGACAATCATAGTTAAAATGTACAGTGTGATTCTGACATCTCTTTTCAGCATCCTTCTAAGTGCAAACCTATTAGAGGCTTAAGCAATTGGAAAAAGGAAAAAAAAAAAAAAGCTTTGCTACCTCAAAAGCTTTCTTAGGGTGGTTGATTTCACAGGTATGCCTGCAAACAAAGATATTGTGATCTGACAATTCCAGGGTAGTTTTCTCTTTGCTCCTTTAAATGGCAATCCGGTACTGTGTGACTATTTTTTTTCATTTAAAAACATTTATGAGGGAAAATACAGCTCTTCAAAGATTTTTAGTGTTGACAGAAGTGTTTAAGAGGAGCAAAGCATCCATAAAAATATCTGAGTTCTTCCAATTCAAGTACTGTGCTCCCCTTCTTTTAAAATTTTCTTTCTTACGAAACACAATGCAAGTCAGCAATTCTTCGTTGACATTGAAGCTTAGGCTATAACTTGCACTGTATGGGCATCATAATTGAGATTATTCATGTGCTGTAGCGAGCTCTCTTCTCAGACTGGAGTTCAGACAAAGACTAAATACAACCCTCCTTACTCAACAAAACACAGTGTAGAGATCTAAGGAGGAACAGAGTGTATCAGGCATGTCAATCCCATCACTCCTCAAATATTTCTTCTGCTCTGAAGAGTTCTGAAACCAGCAAGAGGTTTCAGAACTGTGTGGTGACTTTATAGATGCACATGAGGGAAACTTTCCTTCTGGGAAACAATCCTTATGGGTACAAAGCTGTCAAAATGGATTTCCATCAAGGCATCAAGCCTGTGCAGGGCTAAGAGTTGGACTCGATGATCCTTGTGGGTCCCTTCCAACTCAGCTTATTCTGTGATTCTCTGAAGTAATTAAGTATTATGTTTCAAATGAGCAGATTGTAGAAGAGAGGGTTAAGTGTGTCTTCCAAAAAGTTATACAATATCTGGAAAAAATTATTGGATGAGTTCCCTCTGATTGTTAATCGCATTCACTATTAAGACATAATTTCCTTTCCTTTCTCATTTGCTCTATGCTTCAAGGTAAAAGATGGAACATGGGACTGTGACAAATTCTCTTCTGGGATCTACATAGTGGGGTTTGTCTTTGATCATCCTTTTCTCCTGCCCTTGGAGACCAAATTCACATGGCAAATGCACAGGATTGTGGGGCTCAGAAGTGCTGTGCTGATCAGAGAGAATTTCCCTGAAAGGTCCGTGTTCTGCATTTATTGAAACATTAAAAAGTGGAGTTCAGGCTGTTTGGGGCTTGTAGCAGGTGTAGCTCTGTGTCTTGTCCTGGAGGCTGAGTCTGGCATGGGTTGAAAGGTAAGATGGCCTCGAGTTTGGAAGTGACCTGCGCTGTTGAGTCATATGAGACACTTAGGGGATTTTCCCCCCTTTTTTGTGTTTACTGCCATGAACCAGTGTCTAATATGAGAGTTCCCAGTATTTTTGAAGGCTGTACTTTCCTGATATCTGTTCACAGTGTCTGCTAGGGGATTAAGGCTACAGTGGGCATAAATTTCAAATAGATTTCTGTTAGAGAAGCCAATCCTGTCAATCAAGAAGTTGATACTGGACATTGAGGACCCCAGCTTAGAGATATGGGGTCTCCCTAAAGCAAAGTCTGTGTCAGGCTGTGCTGGGTCAACAGCAGAGAAAAGCAGTAGTGAGCTGTGTGCAGTAGAGATAAAATGAAAATAGGGCTCTCCTGCAGTACCATTAGCTTACTGAAATTGCTGTTTGCTAGGTTCCTTGGAGCTGCTAAATTTATCCTATTTTCTGCAAGGTGTGTTAACACTCTTTGAGAGCTGTGCTGTCATGGAAGAGCCCAGAGGGATGGTGGTGGGTGAAATACAGAAATAGGAGGGGGAAATGTGGGGGTAACTAGAGATGGACATCTTCTGTTCATGGTCATGGACAATATAGGTTTTCTTCTACTATAAAGTGACCTGAAGATGTACTAATTTTTATCTTGGAGGCTTCTTGTGTAATTGAGTGAACAAGGGTATATTTGGGAAAAACAGGACTTTGTTTTCAGCTGCAAACATGCCCTGTGGGATTTTCATCACTTCCCTGAGGCAGTGCTCTTCCATAACTTTTTTTTTTTTATTATTTTTGACCAGGGTAGAGGAAGGAAAAGAAGACCTGAGGATTTTTATTAGACTTTTATAAAATGTATTTTATCTGAGCAATGAGACTTTGTATTCACTGAAGCTTGTGGGTGCTATCGTAATGAAAATAAAACCTCTAGTCTCATTTGTAGTAGTCAAAAAGTAGATGGTACTTTAATTTTTTCAGTTTGATTCTAAAAAGGCCCAATAATTGAATAGGCTTTGTTGTACAGAAAACAACTACTAATACCTCTTGTGATTGATTTCTTTTTCATTTTCCATCTTTTTCTCTCCACAGATTTCTAATTTTTTTCCCTTCCCTTCCTTTGAGGCTTGGAATGGCAATGTTTTTCCAAGAGGAATGGCCCTTATGATCATGAATATCACTTTTCAATACAGTTCAGATAGGTCCTCAAATGTAAAAGCTTTTTATTTTGAGAGTGGAAGAAGTAAGTTGTTGAAAATAGCCTATATTTTGTCTGAAAAAAGGGCATGCACACATGAACTAACTTGCCTTTTCTTCCAAAAAAACCAATTCATATTAATACATTAAGAAACTTCTTAGGCCTAAGCATCACAGGGATACATTTGCTTTTCAATGCACGTGTCACTCCCTGATCCAATTATTACTGAAAGTTTCAGAGGCAAAACTAATTAGCAGTTTGCCACAGTACTCCTGGCTCCTGGAGTTCTAGTAATGACTTGATTTTTTGTAGAACTGAGCTTATTACACACAATAGACAAGACTGGACAAAACAACTTACTTGGTGCAGTTCCTGAAAACTTATTACTATTATCAGCAACTTCTCTGCAACTGCAGAGCTGACAGATGTTAGGTCTTAAGGACAGGATGTAGGATTCAGTTTATACCTTATTGTGCAGGAAAATGGTCTTACATTTTTCACCCATCTTCAGCAATTATCATACTACCAAAAAGCATGATGGACGTATTTCAGGTTAGAGAAAAATTAGCAATGAGAAGTCTGCACTTGAAGGACAGGTAGTGTTAAAATTTAATTTTCAGTCTGTCAGCTTAGTTCTGCGGGGGAGTGTTTAGCTCTTAATATGTTAAGAGAAATATCATTACAATTTTTTTCTCTGTAGTTTCACAATAGTCTCGTGTATGGGTTTAGTAGTTTTCTCTAGCTAAATAATGGAGTTTCCCACTTTCGAATATATATCAGTATCTGATATTTTTTTCCCCTAGGTCAAAAAAACAGTATAATTTGCCCAGTACTTTTATTTTACAGAATTTTTTGTTGCCCTGCAGCAAAGCTGAAAGTTCCACATCTGTGGAATTCAACCCTCTTCCAACTCTCTTCACCCTTGGAGAGGTTTTTACCTCTTCAAAATATCATGTTTTTCCCGAGACACGAGGACTTTTGGATGTGTGAGCCATCAGTTACTACTTGCCTTGTCCTGCACATTGTCCTGGAAGTATTGGAGACAGGCTCTGTATCTGAGGTGTAGCAGTGATCAAAGCTGTGAGCAGAAACCATAAGAGCAGTATGAAACTAGGAGCAGAAGACCAACAAGTCTCAAGGAAGAAGCAAATATTCTTCATTCACCTCCCCTTACTGAGGGTTCCCTGTTCAGATTCTTCCAAACACGCAGCTTTCTAGGCAACCATCTAACTAATATCATCAAACACCTTTGGGAATTGAATACCTCTGATGTTCAGATGGGAATGGAATCCTTTGTAGAAGCGATACAGAGGGAATAATTTACACAAGACATTTTACTTTCCTGGTTTTGTGACATTGACCTTGTTTTCCTGGGTATATTCAGTCACAATTAAGAGTTTTCTTTTTCCAAACTGTAAATGATTATTTGCAAAATACTGAAGCTGGGTCAATTGTGGGTGAATATTTTCAAAAGAAAAGAAAAGACAAAAGTGTTACAGCATAAGGATGATTTTTCTGCAAAGGTAAGAACTGTTTCTCACACATCTATTTGCAACCTATAGTAGAAAGGATCATTTGAAAAAAGGAATTCCTTAGAAAACCTTGGGGGAAAATACTCTGATTAGTCATCTTAATATTAAATGTAGGCTGTTTCAGGCATTTTATACCAGATATGCAAATCCCATTGTACTGACTATTACAAAATAGATCCACATTTGCTGAGGTTCTAACTCAATTTTCTGAATGGACATGATGCTTAAAAATTGCCTCTTTCCAAAGAATATCCACTTAGGCTTCTCTGAGGAGTCTCTGTTCTGCATTTGACCATGCTGAGCCCTGAAACTCTGATCCACAGCAGGAACTGGACATTTATTTAGAGGAATTGGTCTTCAGTCTTTGGGACTATAAGGTATGTGCTGCATAAAAGTATTGCAAAATGTTTGTAACCCCACAAAACATCCAAACACATTCAGTACGTACAAATAAATGAAAAAAAATGCAAGAAAATAAAAATAATAAGCACTTTTACTTTGGCTAAATCTTTTGAGTCTAGATATAGCATGTTGTTAAGTGCTTATGCGAAGTGTTATTTTTTAGGGCTCTATACAATAATCCAGAACTACAATATGTTATTTTTTCAGTGGCTCAGTGAGAAATAACAATACACCATAGAAGTATGATGATAGCTGTACATTATTCCTTCTTTCATTGTATTAATTATATCCATCAAAAGTGGTTATCAGTAAGTCCATTGCCTGATACGAGTAGCAGAATGAATTTGGAATAGCAAATGGATCTGTGGTTTACAAATTGAATCAATACAGGTATATCCTAAGAAACCCCAATCTATTATGTCTCAACTAGTGCAAACTGTTGTGTACTTTGTGTTCATCACTTATATGGAACACAGTATTTCATTTTCACATCACTTTGGTGGTGCACAGGTGTGTTTCAGCTAAAACAGGACAACAGATGGTTGTGTAGGTGTGGGATTACAATTTTCTCCATGGTAATACTTTGAACTTTTACTGCCCTAGTACTTTTCTTGGTGCTAAATATAGTGACACTCACATGTGATTTAATCACTTAAAGATAATCCTCTAGTGCCTTTGTTTTATGTTGCACTGTGTCTCATAAGATCTGATGATGATCCAGAAGGGCAGAGGTCTGCTTGCAGACATCACAATTGCTGCCTATGTGGAGATGTCTCAGATGCTCCACAGCTCCTAAAATCACATTGGATCCCTATCTTCAGACAATTTGAATCCTGTCCCAGAAGCATGCACACCCCCCCCACACACAGATACTTGCTCTCACACCCTGGAGGTTGAGACCATACAGTTAATTTTGAAAAGTGCAGATTTAAATATTTCATTATGATTTACTCTTTAGTGTCTGGAATTAATTAACTATTTTTATTAGAATTATTAATTATTAGAAATCACCATTATTGCATACAAGCTTTAACATTATTTTGCAGTTTATTAACCCTGGTGTGCTGTTCTTGTGCACATGAGCTTTGCACAACAGCAGCTACTGGGGAAAGATAAAAGAAACCTTATAATCTCTTTCTGCTGTTACCTTAACAAGCCTGTCAGAACCTCTTTGCAGAGTAAAATCCACTAGTCCATGTCCTGACACCTTTCAGGGATTCTTATTTCAGCATCCTGTCCTGGGCATATGAACCTAATTTTCCAGTTCAACTACCTTAAGCTAAATTTTTTGAAGATGATGATAAAATATAGAGAAGGAGTATCCTCAAACTCAGTTAGGAGATTAGCTATCTTTCATGTTTTGTTTCTGTGACGCTGCTATAATTCTCTAGGATTCTTTGGGTCCTGGCCTGTCAGAGTATTGCTGCTTTAATAGGCTTGAACTAAAAGCCTTTCCAGCACCCAAGCGTGGTGTCCCAAATACTGATTTTGGTCTTTACAGTAGTAACCTGTCTTCCATTTTCACATCCTCTTGTGACATTTTTCACTCATTTTCTCACAGAATTTGTAACTCCAGTAGTGGCAGTATTCCTAACAATTCTGATTCTAAAAAAAAGCTAAATAAATAGACCTACTTATCTTTGTCCTCTGATATCTGATTCTTGCAGAATTTTCTGGCTCTCTTCTCTTCTGATGGTTGCAGAGGTGGATTATGAGCTGTGTGAGACGTGCTCTGACAAGTGCTGCCATCTTGCAGGGCTGTGCTCTGTTAGTATAAAGTGTTTTGGACAGGAGTCTTTGCAAATTGGTTATTTAATCTTAAAGCAGATATTAATGCATATTTTATATGCACTTAATGTTTGTAAGGCATCCCTATAAACAGCTGTGGTAATGCCAAATTTGCAATGGGAAAGGACTCTGTTGTAGTGCCTCTGTCATAGAGACTGACTGATAAAATCCATCAACTTCCATTGACATGTCTCCAGTGATGCTAAACCTTAGGTTTACTTTTCCATACATCATGCTTTTATTTGTCTTTTATGCTTGACAGGAATTTACATTAGCCATACATGCATTCCTCATTTATTCTCACCTTTCATGGGAATGTTGTTCTAAGCAGGGACACCTTCCACTTGACTACTGAACTTTTCAGTTTTGAAATAAAAAATAGATCACTAGGATGATCAGATGTATCTAACATAAAACTTTTTTGAAAAACATGTGAAGGCTGACACGAACAAAAAGTAATTATAAACTTCCTTGATTATAATTTGAAGTCACTAGGACGTGTCTACCTAATCATTTTTTGGGGTGGTGCTGGAACCAAAGCAAATCATCATCATCATAGCTGTGGAGAGCAGACAGCAGTAGCAGTAAGTCTTGCTTACATTTTGGAAGCAGGCATTCCACACATTGAGTTGTATCTAACCCCCTCCAGCACGTGTCAAAAGTGATATTCATCACTCTTCCATAAAAGGCCTAAAGTGACTTAATCAGCTGAAGTTTCTCTCCGTTTTAACTGCCTGTTCCTATTTGAGGCAAGGAGAGCCTGTCTGTTGCTTCACAGAGGCGTTGTATGTCTTTGTTAAATAGATACTCAGCTTTCCTGTTCACTGCATCTCCTTTTACATCCTATCATCCCCTTGCTCCCTCCTGACTCTCAGTAAATAAAATAAGCTGAGACCAGACAAAGCTGATAAGCTGCAGCCAGGCAGGGAGGGATGGAAGCTGTCTTTGGAGTCATGAACTGGGCTTCCCACTGATGTGACAGCACTGAAGACAGTCAGACAGAAAAAGAGATCAAATACTGAGCTTTTGAGGCCCCTTGCTTCACAAATATACAAAAGTGCTGATATGTTACCTGGAAGTAAAAGACAAGTCAACAATAAAAAGATAAAGTAAGAATTAAGGAGAGGAGGGATTGATGGACATTGCAGTAGCTCATCTTACATGTATTTTTAATGCTGGTTTAAAGTGCGGATGGGAACTAAAGAATTGCAGGCATATGTGTGTTGTGTGCCCAGTAAAAGGAATGGCATAAATTATGCAGGACATGTCATCCTGTTGCCAAATATTTAACACCATTCCTACACAAAAGAGACAGCTCAGGGGATCCTTATTTAAACATCAGTAATCAAATCCTTTTCTCATCATAGCAATCTCTTTTGCATAATTTGTGCCTGCCACATCTAGAACTTGCACAGAAACGAATTCACAAAGAGGTGGTCTGGTGCTGGTTGGCAAAACTTAGTGCTTCAATGACAATTCGTGCTGTACCATAACTGTGTGAGTAAAAATAAGTCTATCTGGATGCCCCCTTGCTGACTATAATTGTTGTCTACATCTGTACATTTTACAGTGACTTATGATTATTTTTTGTCCTGGGATTGTGAAAGAAAGTCTTTGCCTCAGAAAATTACCCATTCTGACTCAAAAAGAAAAATGTCGGAAATGCAAATATTTTCTGCAAATTGAAAGTCACCCAGAGCTCCCCATATCTCTTCTGAAAGTAATGCTTTCAGGAGAAACTGGCTGATCTGCCTAATGGGTACAAATTGTTCCTGTCTGAAATGAATTTTATTTAAAATTCAGTATCTTTCAAAATTTATGGTTACTAGTCTGTAGGGGTTTCTTTGCTTCTGTAAAATGCACAAAGAGAAATAACTCAGTGCAGTGTGTCCTCATAGGAGTTATTCATTATTTTATGATGGAATCATAGAATCATTTGTATTGGAAAGGACCTTAAAGACCATATGGTTCCAACACCCTGCCAGGAGCAGGGACACCTTCCACTAGACCAGGTTGCTCCAAGCTCTGTTCAACCTGGCCTTGAACACTTCCAGAGTTGGAGTATCCACAGCTTCTCTAGGTAAACTGTTCCAGTGCCTCACCACCCTCACAGTGAAGAACTACTTCTTCATATCCAGTCTAAACCTGCCCTCTCTCAGTTTAAAGTCATTACCCCTTGTCCCATCTCTCCACACTCTGCACCTCTCTTGTAGCCCCTTTAGGTAATGGAAGGAGCCATAGTCTCCAATGGAAGTCTCCTCAGAGCCTTCTCTTCTGCAGGTGCAACACCCCCAGCTCTCCCAGCCTGTCTCCATGGTAGAGGGGCTCCAGCTCTCTGAGCATTTTTGAGGCCTCCTCTGGACCTGGTCCAGCAGATCCATGTCCTTCTTATGTTGAGGATCCCAGAACTGGACTCAAGGTGGACTCTCACAAGAGCAGAATAGAAAGGGAGAATCACCTTCCTCAACCTGCTGGTCACGTTTTTTTTTGGTGCAGTTCAAGACTTGTTTGGCTTTCTGGGCTGTGAAAGCACATTGCTGGGTCATGTTGAAACTGCTTGTCAGTCAGTGTCCCCAACTCCTTCTCCTCAGAGCTGCTCTCTACCATTCTCCACCCAGCCTTTATTTATATTTTTTAGTTCTTAGTTCTATTTTATCCTGGTTTCATTTTGATTTCCTAAGAGGTTGTACTGTGATGACCCCCCTGTGTTTTGCCTGAGTGCATTTGGGTGCTGATAACTTAATAAGCATGGGAGAAGAAAAAAAGAATAAAGAACAGCAGTGAAAACCTTAGGCAGCCAGCAGCTTTGATAGAAGCAGATGAAGTTTCAGTGGGAATTACAAATGAGGAGATAGAGCAGAATTTCTAATAAAGATGTGCAACGCAGTGCAAGTAGCTGAACTTCCACCTACATATTTCAAACTTACATCCACAGTGCTTGAAATTCCATAATGTTAATGCTGACCTTTAGTATGCAAGAACATTAGAGGAGGGAAGATGTGTCTTGCTGTATTGTGAGAGCACAAAACTTAAAACAGAGTTTGAGAGTATGATTAGGAACTAATTAATCTCCCCATAAAGTCTATCTACTGTGTGTTTGATATATGACTTATAGGATTGTATTCCAAAGTTAAACCACTACAAACTTTTAATGTGTTGTTATGCAATTTTGTTAAAATTTGGAATA